GCACCACACCTAAGTATTTAACACTTGGTTTGCTGGAGAGGGGGTGGCCATCACAATTAACGTCCAGTGAATCTTTACCATTGAGCCTTCTTCAGGATCCAAAGAGGATTGTTTCTGTCTTTCCAAGATGAAGAGATAGCTTGTTGTCTGTACGCCATTCGTGGCTAGAGTGAAGTTCTGATGTTAGGCTTTGTTGAATTTTTAGAGTGTCCTTASCACCTGCTAGGAGAGCCGAGTCGTCTGCATATAAAAGCAGCTTGCAGTTTACAGCAGCAGACATGTCATTAACATATATGAGGAATAGTAACGGTCTGAGAATGGAACCCTGTGGGACTCCGCATATCACTTTTGTTGTAGTGGATGTTATGCCTCCGATATCTACACACTGCTGTCTGTTATCTAGGTAGTCCTTGAYCCAGTYTACAGCTGGTTTCTGGAGCCRCAGGGCTTCCAATTTACATATGAGAATACTGTAATCCACTGTGTCAAAGGCCTATTGTAAGTCGAGAAGGACTATACCTGTGAGGTTGCCTTTATCTTGCTGTAYTCAGTGATATGTGTCTGTAGAATGAGAGGGTCTGAAACCTGACTGGAGCTCGTATAAAAGTTTGTGGTCTGTGAGAMATTGATTGAGTTGCTCATAGACTGTTTTCTCAATCAGTTTGCTGACAACACTGAGAATTGAGACGGGACGATAMTTGCTAACCTCGGTTTTACTGCTTTTTGTGAATAGGGGTAATTTTAGCARATTTAAGTTTGGAAGGGATACTACCTGTTGACAGAGAAAAAAATTATGATGTGTGTTAGTGGGGAGGTGAGGTACAAGGCACCATCTTTAAGGAATCTGGTGGGTATTTGGTCTGGTCCAGTTCGGATTTAGATTTTGAAGGTTTTTGAGGACAGTGTCCTCTGTTACGTGTTTGAATACAAATGAAGCACCTGAGTTTATCCATTTGCTGTAGAATTGCTTTATGTAGATCGGGCCAAACCTCCCACTTCCCATGGCGATTTTTTTAGTAGAGAAGAAGCAACAGTGGAGAAGTACCTGTCAAAGTTTTCAGCCACCTTGTGCTTGTCAAAGCATATATCATTTTC